AAGATCACTAACGTGAAAAAATATTTATTTATTTTTCTCACTACAACTTGGCAATTTTATTATGCTATTTTTTAGTTAAGGAAACTGAGGCAAACAGGGTAGTGACTTGTTCAGGGTCACACAATTAGTAAGTGTCTGAGGCTGGATTTGAACTCAAGGCTTCCTGACTTTAGGCCCTGGTCCTCTTCACCTCACTTTTTAAAAAAAATTAATTAATTTGTTTTTAGTTTTCAACATTCACTTCCACAAGACTTTGAGTTCCAAATTTTCCCCCCATCTTGTCCATCCCCCCACCCCAAGATTGCATGCATTCTGAATACCCTTTCTCTTAATCTGCCCTTCCTTCTGTCTCTCCCCCCCGCTTCTCTTATCCCCCTTCCCCTTCAATTTTGCTGTAGGGCAGGAGAGATTTCTATACCCTATTTCCTCTCTATCTTATTTTCCAGTTGCATGTGAAAATAATGTTTTTAAATGTATGTTTGTAAAACTTTGGGTTCCAAATTTTTTCCCTTCCTCCCTCCCCACCCACACTCATTGAGAAGGGAAGTAACTTTATACAGGTTTTACATGTGCAGTCATGCAATATTTTCTCCTTCACTTGGGAACTCTGAAATCTAGCTATACTATTCCTGGCACCTTTTATTTTGGGATCTCTTTCAGGAAGTGATCAATGAATTCTTCCAATTTTATTTTGCTTCCCTGTTCCAGAATATTAGGGCAGTTTTTCTCAATAACTTTTTGAAAGTTGATGTCTAGGTTCTTGCTTTGATCATGGCTTTCAGGTTGTCCAATAATTCTTAAAGTATCTCTCCTAGATCTATTTTCCAAGTCAGTTGTTTTTCTTTTTCTTTTTTTTTTAATTTTAAAAACAATTTTTTTAACATGTGTTTTTAAAACTTTGGGTTACAAATGTTTTCCCTTCCTCCCTCCCCACCCTCATTGAAAAGGCAAGCAGCTCGATATAGGTTATAGATGTGTAGTCATGCAAAACACTTCCATAGTTGTCATGTTGTGAAAAACTAAGTATATTTCCATTAATCCTATCCCACCCCCACTCCATTTATTCTTTTCTCTCTTTTGACCCTGTCCTTCCTTAGAAGAATTTAATCTCTGCCTCACTAAATTTTCCTGTTTTTTTTTCTACTGGGAGTCACAATAACAGGAGCAGTAGGAAGGGTGAAGATTAAAGATATAGTATGTCCTGTTGTGCTGGTGACAAATATATTTCAGCAATTTTAAGCAGAATACTTTCAACACATTCTGCACAAAGTCCAGGCCTCTGTGAATTGAGTGAAAAGGACTATGCATTGGCAAAGAATTGGAAATTGTGGGGATGCTCATCAACTGGGGAATGGTTAAATAAGTTGTGGTGAATGTAATAGAATATTGTTGTTCCATAAGAAATGATGAGCAGGTAGATTTCAGAAAAACCTGGAAAGACTTACATGGACTGACGCTGAGTGAAGTGAGCAGAATCAGGACAACATTGTACACAATAATAGTAACATTGTGCAATGACCAGATTTGATGGACTTAGCTCCTCTCAGTAAGGCAATGATCTATGACAACTCCAAAAGACTCATGATGGAAAATGCTATCCAGAGAATGAACTATGGAATCTGAAGGGAGATGAAAGCATGCTGTTTTTTTCTTTTTCTTTTTTTCTTTCTCATGGTTTTTTCCCTTTTGTTCTAAGTCTTTTTTCACATTATGACTAATTTGAAATATGCTTAACATGACTGTATGTGTATGGCCTATATCAGATTGCATGCCATCTTGGGGAGGGGAGAAGAAAGTTAGGGCGAAAAACTTGAAACTCAAAGTCTTGTAAAAGTGAATGTTGAAAACAAAAAATAAATAAACAGATAAATAAACAAATAAATAAACAAGCAAACAAAAAAACAAATAAATAAATAAGTAGTACCCATATCTAAGTTATGTCATAATTACTCTGGAGTTCCCTAGGAAGGTCTTGAGTATCGGTAAGAAAATGGATGTCATGGTCCTTATGTGTATAAACTAATTAAATATTTCTTGAGTTTTAGCATTGGTTGAGACTAGCTCAACCTAAAAGAATATTGCAGGCACTGAGCTCAGAAATGAACAACACTAATGATCCATGCCTCCCATGTAGAAATAGTGTAGGGAGGTAGTCCTTAATCCTCATCCATAGTATTGGCATAGAAGAAGAATTGTGTGTATGAACCTAAGATTTGGGGTGTGAACCATCAGAATTTGAATAAAAGAAGTAAGGCAAATTGTTACACCATGCCAAGAGTTTAAGATGTCCTGGAATGTCTAGTGGTATTTATTAGTTCAAGAACATATCTTAAAGGAATTTCTGGAGGCCTTGCCAGTTTTCAGTAGCACTTTTCAGTAGCAAAAAGTAGGTGATTACAGGAACTTCTTGGAAGTATTGGTGTTTCCAATACCAATTCCAAAATACTGGAAAAACTTGATCTCATTGTATTTGAAAAGACAATGGAAGACAAACTGCTGAAGATATTAGATTGTTTAGAAGTCACTAGTTTAAAGCTATCTTTCGGCAAGAGTCAAGTCTGTAGAGCTTCTGTGCTGAATGTGGGCCAGGGGTTTTTTGTGTCATGGACCCCTTTGGCAGTCTGGCGATGCCTATGGACTCCTCAGAATAATACTTTTACAATGACAAACATTTATTAAGTGTTTGCTATGCTGCAGGCCTTATGCTAAGCATTGGGAATACAAATACAAGCAAAGAGAAACACAATCTCTGCCCTTATGGAGGGGAAATTCTAATGGGAAAAGGTAACACGTAAAAAGGAGCTGAAAGGCCAGGGATGGGGGTGGTAAAGGAGGAGAATATCTGCAGGGGTGTATGATGGTGAAATCTGGAGAGTCTAGACAGAGACAGGAGAGGAATGAAAGATGACTGGGCTGGATCCTTCCTCAAGATGGAGATTTAGGAGGAAGTTAGCAAGGGGAGATGACATGACATAAAACAACCTGAGACTAAAACAAAATCAATTGCACCGAAATATAATTATAAAAATATTTATTTAAAAACCAAGTTCATGGACCCTAGGTTAAGAACTTCTGCTTTAAATATTAGATCAGCTGCAAAATGCTTCACATTCCTCATCTCCATTGAGCCTCACAACAACACAGTAATGCAGATACTAAGAGTACTTGTATTCCTATTTCACAGGAGAGGATACAGAGGGTCAAAGAGACTGTGACTTGTCCATGATCATAGAGCTAGTAGGTGTCAGAGGGAGAGTTCAAACCCAGGTCACTAAGTATACCTAGGTCCCAAACAGGTTTCTAGGTGGCTTCTCTGCTAGGATGAATCCTGGTCAAGATGATGATTTTGAATGCAAACTAAAATTAAGGGGTTGCTCTCAATTTTTCAGGAATCCAGAAGCCTAGAACTACAGCTTTTAATCTTTAAAGCCACAGCATTTTTACTGCACACATGCTTGCATTTGTTGAGGTCCCTGAAGACTGAGCAGATGTCTCAGTGGAGTCACCATGTGGCCTTGCTAGTACATGTGTATTCTATCAAGAATGATGCCAGAGCAATTGCTAGTGTTTGGGCAAGTGCCTCATCTGCCTACTGATCTGTGCTTTTTAATTTTGGTAGCTAGAGAAGATGTGGAGATTCATAAGCAAGTACAACATTCAAATTAGAGATCAGTTGAAGGAGGCCTTTTCCTTAGCTATGCCTACAATTCAGAAGTTCAGGAAGAAACAAGAAATGGTATGACATTTGAATAAGCTGCCAGAAACTCCGGGTAGATGACAACGTCCAGCTATGAAACCTCCATGTCTAGATAAAACACAAAAAAACAGACTGGTGGCGAGACACTTAATACTAAATATTTGAAAGAAACCCCTAGTCTACGAAGTAGCCCAACAAAGGAGTCAGATAGGGGCTTGACAAGATGGCAAATCACAAGTATCTGCTTTCATTAGGGCCTTGGTTGGATTCCCTGGAGACCAGATCAGGTGCAATGGAGAATCAAGGAAATGATATTGAAGAGATGCACATCTACCAGTTGTAGGTGATACTTGGATAATGTTCCACATGGAGAGGATCTTAATCAAGATCCAGATGAGGAAGAAACTCTGTGTTGGTGACCTCTGTAGGGCTGGGAAAGCTTGGGAAGAAAGACTCAGCCTCACTTCTACCTGGATAGGTCATGGTGATGCTGATGGTGGAGATAGTGCTGGATCCAGAAGCCATTTCTTTCATGTCTGACTAGGAGTTAGACTTAGCAGCATTATTCCTAGGCCATAGAGGAACCCAGACTGGGACTTTAGTCCAGTGGGCCTGAGGATATCAACCCACCCACATGGAGGGCAGAGACTGAGGTTGTGGCAATGGATCATTCCAAAGGGCCACTACTACCCAATAGGCCAGTGGCTACAGTGATATATGATCTACTTGCTGTGAGGATTATGGAGAACATACTGTGTGATTCCCATTGATGGAGTGTATATGAAGTATACTTGGTATGAAAACTTAACATGTGTTGCTATGAGTTAAGTACTTTGAATTACATGTTTGGCATACTTTATGCAACTCTAGTTTGGATGTTTTGTTATGTCTTATGATCAGGAACTGTCTTGATTTCTATTTGCACTTAGCACACTGCTTTGCCTATAATAAATACTTTTTCATTAGTTTAAAGAAAAAAGCACAAGGACCAAATGGATTTACAAGTGAATTCTATCAAACATTTAAAGATCAACTAATTCCAATAGTAAATGTATTATTGGAAATTATAGGCAAAGAGAGACCCCACGAAACTACTTTTATGAAACAAATGTGATACTGATTACTAAAAACAGGAAAAGTAAAATCAGAGAAAGAAAATTATAAGCCAATTCCATTAATTAATATAGATGCAAAACGGTAAATAAAAAAAACTACCTATAAGATTACAACAATATTTTAAAAGATTAAAACTTTATGAGCAAGTAGGACTTATACCAGGAATTCAGATATGTTTTAACTTAAGGAAAGTTATTAACATAATTTATTATATCAATAATAAAAGTTTTTAAAATTACATGATCAGTAGATGCAGAAAAAAACCCTTTTGTTAAAGTGTAACACTCATTTCTATTAGTAGCACTTAAAAGTACAAGTGGAATTTTCCTTACATTGAGAAAAAAAAAGCATTCATCTGAAGCCATGAACAAACATTATTTGTAATGCAGCTAAGATAGAAACCTTCCACGTAAGATCAGGTTTGAAACAAGGATGCTCAGTGTCACCAATATTAATCAACATTGTATTAAAAATCCTAGCAGTAGAAATAAGAGAAATAAAAGGCATCAGAAAGGGAATGGTGTAATAAAATTATCTCTTTTTGCAGGTGATATGATGATACACTTGGAAAATCTGAAAGATTAAAAAGTTAATTGAAAAAACTAATAATTTTAGCAAGGTAGCAGGATACAAAGTAAATCCACTCAAATTATCACCATTCCTATATATCGGAAATATAGCTCTACAAACAAGGATAGTAAGAGATACCCCATTTGAAATACCTGTTGACAGCATAAAATGCTGGGGAGTACATTTGGCAAAACAAAATAAGACCTAAAAATTATTTTTAAAAAATTATACAAATAAAATCAGATACAAGTAATTGGAGAAATGTTAATTGTCCATGAGTAGGCAGGGCAAAATATTGACAATTTTGCCTAACCTAATTTGTGTATTCAATGACATCCCATTTTTGACCAAAAACTTATTTTACTGACTTAGAAAAACAATAATAAAGTTCTTTTGGAAGAATAAGAAATTAAGAGTATAAATGAACTAATGAAAAAAATGTAAAGGAAGGAGGCTTAATATTACTACATGTTAAAGTATATTATAATACAATAATTATCAAAACTATCTCTTATTGTCTAAGAAATAAAAATGTAGCTCAATAGAACAAAGTACAGCTAACAGTGGCCTGTGATCTCAAAACATGGGAATCTGTCAAACATTTTATTAAAAAAAATATTCTGTAGAGATTCAACTTCCCAGTTGAATTTCAATAAGCAATTACAAACTTTCTCATCTGTCATTATCTGAAATTCTTAGAAAAAAGGCCATCTCAAGGATGAAAAGGATGGGAAGGCCCCTAGGGAAGTTTGCTGAGTGGAGAGGGAAAGCCATAAACCCTGAAAAGAATAGTTCATCTTTACTCTCCTGGGACTGGACTCTTGTGCTCAGTAGTTGAACACCATATGCATCCTGACCTTCTAGCTTCCTTGTAGGAGAAAGTTTATGTATGAACTCATACTCCTTTCTTCTCATTGTGCTTCTTGCACAGTAATATACCGCTGTGTCCTCAGCTGTGAGTGATTTTAGCTGCAGAGAGAACTGATTCTTAGATGTGTCTGCTGTGATAGAGACTCTGTTTTGGAAAACAGGGTTGTAGTATGTACTCCCACTCCAATATCCAATCCACACTAGCCCTTTCCCTGGAGACTGTCGGATCCAGCTCCAGTAGTAACTGCTAGTAACAGAGCCACCAGTGACAGAACAGGTGAGTGTAAGGGACTCTGAGGGCTTTGCAAGTCCTGGCCCTGACTCCTCCAGTTGCAGGTCAGACAGGACACCTAGGAACAAGGTGAATCACATTACGTCTTAGCACTAAAACAATTTCTCCTATAAACCCATTAGGTAATCTCTTAATCATTCTCATCCAGGACCTACCTGCCACCAAGCAGAACAGAAACCAGAACAATTTCATGTCTTCCAGGTGAATGAGATTTTTTTGTTCAGAAACCTCCATCCTAGGGTGAGAAGAGAGACTGACCCTCCCCAAGCCAAGGCTGAGTTTTCACTTGGCAGCCTGAGAGGCTTAATTTGCATGTGGAGGGCATTGGGGTATATAAAATGAGTTTGAGCAGAAAAGCCAGATTTCTTTCACTGGGGCTTTTTCTGGATTCAGCCAATAGGAGCTAGTGTAAGATATTGGTGCACCCACAGATGGGGTAACTATGTGGCTCAGTGAATATAGTGTCATGTCTCCAGTAATTCCTTACTCTTCTTCCTGAGATCAAATCTAACCTCAGACATTTACTAGCTCTGTGACCCTGGGCAAGTCACATAACCCTGTTTGTGCCAGTTTCCTGATCTGTAAAATGAGGTGGAGAAGGAAATGATAAACCACTCAAATATCCATAACAAGAAAACCCCAGATGATGTTACAAAGAGTCAGACACAACTTAAAATGACTCAACAACACCTTTACAAAGGTTCGATATGTTCTCTTACTGTATGTTTCTATTACCCATACCGTTTCCTCCAGGACATTTGTAATTGCATAGTTAAAAAAAAGTCCAGCGTTTTTCCATTATGACTACTAAAAACCAAGAATTCCAAATGTTTCTCAGTGTGTTATTGTATTGTATTGTATTGTATTGTGTCAGTTGTTTCTATGATTGTTTTTTATTGTGGTGGTTCAGTCACATTTCAGTCATATACTACTCTTCATGATGCCATTGGAGTTTTCTTGGCAAAGATACTGAAGTAGTTTGCCATTTCCTTCTGACTATTTTATAGATGAGGAACTGAGGCAAACAGGGTTAAGTGACTTGCCCAGTGTCACACAGCTAAGTCTCTAAAGCCAGATTTAAACTCAAGAAGAGGAATCTTCCTGACTGTAAGCCTGACATTTTATCCCCTGGGCCACCTAGCTGCCATATTTAATAATGCAGATCATTATAAAACTGCATATTCTTAGGCTTTGTCTGAAAGAAAAGAGCTGGGTGACTTTAATTTCAGCACTGATGACTACAGTTTGGGGATTTATTCCTTGGGGCCATAAAACTCCAATATAACTCCTTTGGCCAGCATGTACCTTTAATTGATAGCTCTCACTGTGACACTTTGCTTGACTCTCTGGGGCAGTCCTTAATTCTCTGTCCATACCATGGCCAATATGAACTGCCCTATGCAGAAGTAGATTCATTTTCTAGATTCAGGGTGTCCTGAGCTCTCAGGAACAGTCACTCACTTTTGCCAGGTGTCAATTCTACATTCAGCTAGCTGTTACTCTGGGGTATCTTTTGCTCTATAAGATTTGTTGTATTCAGTGTATGGTCTGTAGTAACTTTTCAGAATAAAACCTGAGCCTGGGAAGTGGGAGGTGGAATAGCTTAAATAAGGTGTGAACAGAGGTAGAAATATAGCCTGTATGGAGCTGGCTCCAGTACCTTGAGGAGGGCCAATTGTTAAATTTCCAATGTAAGCACTTATATCTCCATGGGCACTTCTCTCTCCCTACCTCCCTACCTAACGACACTCACTCAAACTCTTAGTGCAAATAATTGACTCTAATGGAGCCAATTACTGGTCTCAGAGTCAAGAAGATCTGAGTTTAAATCCAGCCATAGACACTAACTGTGTGGGGCTCAGTAAGTCACTTAACCTCTGCCTGTCTCAGTTTTCTCAGCTGTGAAATGAAATCAGCTATTTTCTCATTTCTTACAGTATAGTAGGGGAGTACAAGTGTTCAGGAAAGACTAATACCTCTGGTGTGAAGGCTACTAAACACTTTCCAGGGCTGCTCATCCACCTTTGGTGCCTACCTGCCACCCAACTCTTACCTGTAGCTCCAAGAAGCAGTAGCATGGGCAGCAGTTTCTTTTCAGTTTTGGCAGACAGGCTAAACCAGGTTGAGATTAACCCACAGGCCTCAAACCTGTCAGTGAATTGGAGAGTGTCTACCCCAAGCATACAAAGACTTTTCCTGGCAGAATGGGCAGATGTGAACAGTTTGTTCCAATGCACCATGAAGGTGGTGGAAGCAGGCAATGTGGAGCACTTAGAGATTGGTTAGATATTAAAAATGCTAAGCTCATCCACTGCAACCTAAGCCATTACCAGTCATCTTGACTTTTGCCTTGCCACTCAATCTGATGGTTCTAGAAGAGAAAGTACAGCTGATGATTGTAACTTTGCCTTACTTAAATCCAATTTATACATGTCAAATGACATCACCCACACCATTTCACCATTTTTACCTACTTCAAAGTCCTCTGGCAATGAGTAAATAACAAAGTAGCAGGTACAGATACACTGGGAGTTCTAGTGACAAACCTGTACAGAAGCGGCCCAGGGCAAAGGGTCATCTTCTTACTGGACTGAAGCAGCAACAGGAATCAGAGCCCCCTGGGTGTCTGGGTAGCCTTTTTTAATTTAATATTTAATTAGTGTTTTGTTTTTCACACAACTACATATCAAGAAAATTTTTAGCGTTCGATTTTATAAGATTCTGGTTTCCAAATTTCTCTTCCTTCCTCTCTGTTCTGCCCTCTTCTGAAAATGGTAGGCAGTTTGATATAATTTATACATACGCTATCATGTAAAATGTGTTTCCATATTTATCACAGTTGTGTAAGAATAAACAGATCAAAAGGCAAAAAAATGAAAAAGATAAAAGTAAGTGAAAAAAATATGCTTCAATCTACATTCAGAGTCCATTAGTTGTTTATTTGGATATGGACAGCATTTTCCTTCATGAGACTACTTTTCTTCATATCATTGTGTTGATGAGAAAAGCAGAGTCATTCAGAGCTGATCATCACAGGATGTTGCTGAAACTATGTATAGTGTTTTCCTTATTCTCATCTTTTCATCTTGCATCCGTTTGAACAAGTCCTTGTAGGTTTTTCTGAAATGTGCCTGTTCATCATTTTGTTGTACAATAACATTTCATTGTATTCATTTTACCTTAGTTTGTTCAGCCATTTCCCAAATGATGGGCATCCCTTCAGTTTCCAATATTTTGGCATTATGAATAGGGTTACTATAAACATTTTTGAACTTGTAGGTCCTTTCCCCTTTTTCAATGAGTTCTTTGGGATGCAGAGCTAGTAGTGGTATTTCTGGATCAAAAGGTATGCAGAGTTTTATTGCTCTTTGGACATAGTTCCAAATTGCTCTCCAGAACAGTAGGATCAGTTCTTACTTCCACCAACAGTGCATCAGTGTCCCAATTTTTATATACCCTTTCCAACATTTATCATTTTCCTTTTTCATTTTTGCCAATTGGATAGGTGTGAGAGGGGTACCACTAAGTTTATTTTCCCCCAGTTACACGTAAAAACAATTTTAAACATTTGTTTTTAAAACTTTGAGTTCCACATTTGCTCCTTTCCACCCTCCCCACACTACCCCCATTGAAAAGACAAGCAATTCAATATAGGTTATACACATGTAGTCATGCCAAACATAACCATAATAGTCATGGTGCAAAAGAAAACATAGACAAAAAAACTCAAGAAAAATGAAGTAAAAAAAGTATGCTTCAGTGTGTACTCAGACACTATCAGTTCTTTCTCTGGGGATGAGTAGCACTTTTCATGGTAAGTTCTTCAAGAGCTGTCTTAGGTCATTGTATTGTTCAGAATAGCTAAGTCATTCACAGCTGATCATCTTACAATAATGCTGTTACTTTGTAGACAGTACGTTTCACTTTGCATCAGCGCATGCAAGTCTCTCCAGGTTTTTCTGAAAGCATCCTGCTCATCATTTCTCATAGTACAATAGTATTCCATCATAATCACAACCACAGCTTGTTCATCCATTCCCCAATTGATAGCATTCCTCAGTTTCTAATTCTTTACCCTCAGAAAAGAGCTGCTTTAAATATTTTTAACATAGAAGTCCTCTTCCTTTTTGTCTTTTATCTCTTTTGGGATAAAGACCTAGCAGTGTTATTGCTAGGTCAAAGGGTATGCACAGTTTGGTTGCCCTTTGGGCATAGTGTCAAATTGCTCTCCAGAATGGTTGAATCAGTTCACAACTCCACCAACAGTGCATTAAAGTCTTATTTTTCCCGCCTCTCCTCCAACATTTGTCATTTACTTTCTCTGCCCTGGGAGCCAATCTAATACATTTGAGTACCTATTAGTACTCAAACTGAGTACTTATTGAGTACCTCAAAATTGTTTTAATTTGCATTACTCAAATCAATAGTGAGTTAGAATATTTTTTTCACATGGCTATAGATAGCTTTCATTACTTCATCTGAAAACTGATCCTATCTCTTGGTCATTTATCAATTGGGTAATGGTTCTTATTTTTATGAATTTGACTCATTTCTCTATATGTTTAAGAAATGAGGCCTTTATCAGAGAAACTTGCTTCAAAATTTTTTTTCAGTTGCTATTGCTAACTGTGTTTCCCTCCATGCTATTCCTCCACCCTCATTTATTCTATTCTCTATTCTTTCACCTTGTCCCTACTCAAATATGTTTTGCTTCTGACTATGCCCTCCCCCAATTTTCCCTCCCTTCTATCACCATCCCCCTATTCTCTTATCCTCTTCCTCTCTTTTTTTGTATGAAAAGATAGAGTTCTATACCAAATTGGGTATGTATGTTACTTTGAACCAATTCTGATGAGAGTAAGGTTCAGTCACTCCCTCTTACCTCCTTTCTTTCCCTCTCCATTGCAAGAGCTTTTCCTGCCTTTTTTATTTGAGACAATCACGTTCTACCTCTCCCTTTCTCCTTCTCCTAGGTGACAAACAAGTTTGTTCTACTCTTTTGGTTTTGTGTTATTGTTTCTTGTTTTCTCATAAAGTCATTAACTTCCATTTACTCCGTTGAAATTTTTAAGGAATTATTTTCTTCAGTGAGCTTTACTCTCTCACCTCTTAATTTTATTTTTTAGAAATCATTCCTTCATCTTCAACTCACAGCTTTGTCTATATATACTCCTAACTACCCTGATAATGAGAAAGCTCTTATGAATTACAAACATTATCTTCCCATGTAGGAATGTAAATAGCTTAAATTTATCAAGTCC